TTCACCACGTGCTTGAAAAATAAGCGGGCTGCTTCCTCTGCCTTGCAATCCCGTGGGGCTGGGATGAAGGTTCCATACTTCGAAAATCGATCAACCACGACCAGTATAGACCCGCACCCTTCAGACTGTGGGAGAGCTGAGATGAAGTCCATGGTGACACACTCCCAAGGGCGTTCTGGGCCTGGTAGGGGCTCCAAGAGACCTCCAGGTTGCCGCTGCTCGATTTTGTCTTGTTGGCACACTAGGCACGTCCTCACATAGGCCTCAACGTCATCCCGCATCCGTGGCCAATAATACAATTCTTCCACCAGTGCCATGGTGCGCTTGATCCCTGGGTGTCCAGCCCACCTCGAGTCGTGACACTCCTTCATCAGCTCCCGTCGTAAATTCTCCCACTTCGGGATATATAGGCGATTGCCCACAGTAAATAGAGCACCATCATTGCACCAGAATCGTCGCGTCTTGCCCTCGCGAGCCAGCTCCATAAGACTCTTGGCAAAAGGATCATGCGCCAGACCCTCCTTGACACGATCCAGTATGTCACCCTCAAGTCGACTAATGGAGGCGAACGTAGCCTTGCGGCTCAGCGCGTCCGCCACAACGTTAGCCCGCCCAGGCTTGTACTCCATCACATAGTCGAATTCAGCCAAGAAGTCTTGCCATCTCGCTTGCTTGGGCGTGAGCTTCTTCTGCCTCTGGAAGTAGCTCGTAGCTACATTATCAGTCTTGATCACGAACCTGCTCCCAAGCAAGTAATGACGCCATACCTGCAAGCAATGGACGATGGCGGTCATCTCCTTGTCATGCACCGGGTACCGCCTCTCCGTGTCATTGAGCTTGCGGCTCTCGAACGCTATGGGATGGCCGTCTTGCATCAAGACTCCTCCGATCGCCAAGTCCGACGCGTCAGTGTGCAACTCGAAAGGCCTCCCATAGTCGGGCAGTGCGAGCACTGGTTCTTGGCTCACCGCTTGCTTCAAGTTCTCAAAGGCTCGTTGACACTCCGCTGTCCACTCCCACGAGACCTTCTTCTTGAGCAAGTCAGTCAAGGGTGTGGCCCTTGCTGAATACCCCTGGATGAACCGACGATAGTAGTTGACTAGGCCAAGGAATGATCGCAGCTCGGGGACTGAGCTGGGAGGCTCCCACTCCTGGATGGCATGCACCTTGGCCAAGTCCATGGATATCTTCCCGTGGCCTACCCGATGGCCTAGGAACATCACCTCCTGTTGCGCAAATGAGCACTTCTCCTGTTTCACGTAGAGCTCATTCTCGCGTAACACTTGGAGAATTTGTCGAAGATGCTGCACATGCTCCTCCAGCGTCTCGCT